AATTTTGCTTATTTTTTACTGCAAGAATAGCATAAATACATAGCTTAATTATGTAAACTGCATATCCAACATATGCAGTTTACACAATTATACATGTATAGTTTACATATTCTATATATGTAGTTTGTATGAAACTGCATATTTACATACATAGTTCCACTTAATTTTACACTTATCTTACTTCAAAATTACTAATAACCTTTTGAAAAGATAAAATGTTTTAATGAAAATCGCATGATTGCTAAAATTCATAAGATTTCCATAGGTTACAAGACTTCAGACTGTCACGAAATTCTAAGCTTAATTATTCTAGTGACATCTTTAATGAATGAGAGCAAGGAAGCCACAGCCTTACTTAACGTCCCAAACTGATATGAATTCCTCATGGAAATTGTTATTTGGGGATATTTTAATTAAGAGTTAATCTCACGTTGCTTTGAAAATCATCCGAAATGCTTTGAGTACCTTATTTTGATACTTGTAATAAGTTTTAAACATTAATATAAACATTTATAGATAATAAATACTCTTGATTGTGTCTCAAAACTGATAAATTTGTACAGAATGATCATTCTAAATGTTTCTAAACAACTCAAGATGCAAACTATAAGCTAATACATGAGCTTCAATGAAGATTTATTCATCTGTAGATGTATTAGTAATTTCATCAGTTAGAAATATTTTACAATAGGGAAACCGATACAAATGTAGATTATCTTTTATTTTTTAATTTGAATTATCACACACATTTTCGAACAGTTTTTTGCAGTATTCGTCGAAGAAAATTTTAAAAAAACACAGTTTACAAGAGAACAACGCAGTAGAAGTCTGCAAAATCGAAAAAAAATTTTAATGGATTTTGCTATGATAGTGCTAAACTCAATACATTGTTTTTTGTGCATTGTTTTTTTTCGGTGATTACTTAGATTTTCGGTGATTATTCAAAACCAGTCAGCTGAACTACGTTCAATTAAATCTGTATTTAGTGTGAGTGGTAATTTGGGGTAAATCGGTTGAAAATTGTACTTGTTGGAGATACAGCAAGCAAGAGAAAGTAAATTACGTTTAAAGTCTTGTGATAAATAATCCATACAAATACAGGGTGATTCTAAAAGGATGGGCAAAATTTCAGGAAGTGATAGTACACACCCAAGCAAACAATTTTAATCAAAGAATGCATGGTCGAAAACAAAACGCAAAACCGCTAGAGGACGTCAAAGTTTATGTTCTAATATGAGGCAAAAGCACGCAAAGAACGATGAAGTTAAGTTATAAAAGCAAATTTAATGGCATGTGATTACAATAAGTGTTCAAAATAGTGGCCGGCAGCGGCTATGCGCGCAGCACAACGGCGAAGAAAAGATAGGGCATATCACGAACTTTCCCTGCAGCGGCCGAAAACTTGGCGACAAGTAACACAGCGCAGTAACTCGCAACAGGAATGGAGCTTTCACGTTTGCATCAAACAACTTTCCAAATGCTCCAGCACCTTTGCGTTTTGTTTTCGACCATGCATTCTTTGATAAAAATTGTTTACTTGGGTGTGTATTATTACTTCCTGAAATTTTGCCCATCTTTTTAGAATCACCCTGTATATAATAATTTTCTTCTTCTCCATCATTTTCAGCAGTCTCAAACGCTAGTCTAGACATTTTTTTGTATCAATCTACCCTCATGTAAAGCTTTATATGTTTTCAGAGTAGCAGCCAAAAATCTGCACTTATCTTCAATTTAAGCAAATTCGTTAACTGGCGTGCCTACATTTATTTCTAATTACTCCAAAACTATAATCAACCCTGAGGAATCTTTATTCAAAATTATTACAGCTAAATAAGTTGCATTTTCAACTATTTATATTAAAAGTACCATTAATTCTCCGTACATAATTGAAACAAATTATATCGATAAAATAGTTAAAATGAAAGTATTTTTCTGAAATATTTCGATGGAAGTGTGCAAATCCATTAATCAACTGAGCACACAAGTTCAATGGTTAACATATGTTTCAGCAGAGCGTCGAGTGCAGCGCTTAAAATATTATGCTGAGACTTTTACATTTTCAAAAAAATCCATTCAATATTTTGGTACCAGTCATATCTCCTTTTTTTAAGAATTTTACTGTTTTGTTTCATTAATGATCAAAAAATTTAGAATTGTAAGATGTAGGAATTTACACCAATTTAATCTAAGTGATCTTAAATGACAAATTTTAAATTTAAAAGAAATTGATTGAACAGTTCTGGAAAAATAAAAATTTAAAAATACGACTTTTTTTGAGATGATCAAATATGCAATTAACTTCCGATCATTTTCCTGCTTACCCACACTATTGGAACCACATAAATTTTCCAAATTGAGGCTACTTCCCACCCCCTATATTGAGAATAAGGAATCCAAATCCAACCATTTCGTCTGCTTATTTAAGGAAGTTTATTCTTGTGTTTAATTTCGCAACTTAAAATATCATCCGCACTAATTAAGTAGCGCATTTAAGGTTAAGTTTTCGACCCATTGAGATCGAATTATATAGAACGTGAAAATCCGATTATTAGATCAAAAATTACTCAAGCTATTTGATTTTTTACCCTTATTATTACACACTGTACACTAATTTGCTGGGCTAATGGGCACATTTTATGTGGATTATACTCTAACACTTCTTTTAGCAATGCACTTGTAATTTAAAACAACGTTTATTAAAATTAATTAAATATCACTGCAGTTTCAAATCTATTGTTTTTATTACTTAATCATTTGCTAAAATATATATGATTACAAGTTAATTTTCTTTTAATTAAATATTTTATTTCTGACTGATGCGCTAAGTTTTAAGCTAAATTCAAGGTTCTAATGTATGTATGTATATATATATATATATATATATATATATATATATANTGTATATATATATATATATACACACACAACCACTACATGCATGTTATTATACACATTTATGTTGAAGTTGAAGACAGTATAAAAATAGATGAAAAAGTATCATATTAAAAAAAATGAAAATAGGAAAGGAAAAAAACAGCAAATTAAAGTTTAACTTTTGCGTTTTACTTTCCGGTTGAATTGTGTGGGTGTAATTAATAAAAGTTTTATCGCGCGCACACATATATAATTTTTCTCGAACTTATCTCATAGAAATTACTTTAATCAAAGTGTTTATGTTTCTTACGAAGGCATGCCTAATTTTAAGAGATAACATAAATAATAATATCTAATTTTACTATACATAATTTCAATATATAGTAAACTGGAAATTTTCACCTTTTTAACTGTTACTTACAACATCTTCTAGATGGCAGCACTATGTGCATCGAAAATTTTCTGGAAGAAATATGTTGGCTTATTTCTTATTATTTCAATCCTAGTTCATAGTTTGAAGAGCGATTAAAATTATAAAAACTGGTTTATAAACACCATGAACTGTACCAAAACGAACTACTTTAAAAAAGAAATTAACTTCAAAAGCGTGAAAATCAAATTCTTCTCAACAGAATCTATCAAGATATATCTTAATTTTTTATTAGTAGCATTTGTCAATACTAATTAAAAAGAGTGTTTAAATAAAGGAATGTTATCTTCTCGTTTTCGCTGATTTTTAGACGGGAAGTAGAATTTTTAAAGAACTATTGAGCATAACAATTTGTCTCGTTACAAAATGCTTTCGATACATTTGATTTTTGATTTGGTTCGAAACGGTAAGTTTTGAATTTCTGCGGACCACATGACCACAGATATTGATACACGTTGTTTTCATTCATAAATAATCCTAAGAAACTGAAGCGATGAGATGTTTCATGATTAAAAAACTTAATTCGCTTTAAAAATATACAGATTGGAAATAACAGGCGGCACGTTTCCAGCGCTCTAAAATAGGCACCTATTTTCAAGACTTGCCAGGCGTGAATAGGAAGAAACAAATGAAGTTTGAAATATAAAACGTAAAGTTGCAAGCGAAAACTTGAAAATAATAGTGAGAAACTTAACTAGAAAAACCTCAGTAGTATGCGAAAGTAAAGGTGAGAAACAAAACTATTAAAACTTCAATAGAGTACGAAAAATGAAAAGTAAAAGTGAGAAATAAAACTATAAGAACCTCAATAATATATGAATAAAAGACGATGCCAGGGCATCAAGATGAGCTAATATGACTAATGTGGAAATAATTTTTAAAAAAAGGTGAGAAGCGTAACTAGAGAAACCTCAGTAGCCAACAAAAACTAGAAAATAGATATGAGAAACAAAACTAGCCTCTGTAGCCTACGAAAACTGGAAAATAAAGGTGAGAAACAAAACTATGAAAACAAACCTCAGTAGCCTACGAAAAATGAAAAATAAAAGTGAGAAATAAGATTAAAAAAACATCAGTAATATATGAATAAAACAAGATGCCAGGGCATCAAAATGAACTGATACGACTAGGGTGAAAATAATTTATTTGTCGAAATTGAATTTATGCCAAGATTCCAACAATGTACAGTAACTGAAAATTTCTCGTATTTTTGATAAATGACAGATCGTGTTCGTAAGTTTAAATTTAAAAGCACCTCTAGTTTGCCGTATGTACCCAAGGTCGCATTGAGAAGCATTTACAACATTCCTTGTTCCACTCGAAATGAAGTTAGATGTATTTGTATTTTAAATAACTAAAGAGGAAAAGCTGCATATAAGTAGATAAATCTGCTTATCTACTCTGTTATTAAAGGATTAGAAAAATAGAATAGATAAAAACTGAAGTTAGAAATTTTTTAGTATCAGAATAGCAATCAAATTTTCAGTTGAATAAATTTTATTAATTAGATAGTAACAACTGATACTTTCTGGAAGTTATATTTGAGTATAGATCGGGATGAGAGTCAAGCTCTCGGAAAAAGCCGAATAGGAGTCGAATTCGAACACTTCAACTGACTCCACAGTTCTAATCAACAATAAAAAATCATGCGCAAAACTGAAATACATTGACCGACACACTAAATAAAGCTAAAATGTTTCCATTATTTTATTTATTGCCTTGCTTTATTTTATTTATTGCCTATTTATTGCTTGCTTGTTTTAAGGCTTTACGTAATTAGATTAGGCATGGCGCTTTTCAAAAGTACATTTCATGAAAATAAAGATAAACAGTGATATGTATCATTTGACATATGCTGTTGTATGAGACCATCACACGATTGTAAAAATATCGTCGATCTCTTATACATCTTATACTCAGCCATGGCGACAAGCACAATATTTCCAACTTCCAAATCCCCTGCAAATTCCAATTGAAAAGCCTTCCTTCTGACACCATTCCAAGCATTTTTGCTGGCTTGGACATCCATGGAAGTCAGCATTTAAATTTTCTATAATGAATAAAAAAGCATTATTAATCACAATACACATGGAGAAAAAAATTCTGGTAAAATTACCGTATTGTTTGGTGAAGACATTTCTAATTTTAAAAAAAATCATGATTTTGGTAATGAGACCAAAATATACAGTATTCAAACCATTCACTTGGTAACGATTTAACGGAATTTTTACTAATCACTAGATGTATAATTTTGTACATCTTTTAAAATTTTGATATTTATACATTTACTACTCGGGGAGTATTCGGCTGGCGGGATTCGAACTTCCGGTCTCACAAATAGTGAGTACAGCGCCCTACCATCAAGGCTATCCCGGCCTTTAAGAGCTTTTTAGTCCCGCAATGGACTGATTGTAAAGACACGGATCCCAGTAGAACATCAAAGTCACGCATCACTGGCCGCTATCAGAGTGCGGGTAGATGGCCACTTGGATAAGTCTACGAAAGGACCGATGGTGTGCGGTATGGGTCCTCGTTAAACTGTTCAACCGTAAAGTGCTCGACTTCGCGTGTAGGTTGTCGAACTACCGAAGCAGGAGTACCATCTCCTCCTCAGAGGATCAAAATTATGATGGCATGTCTTCGGATCATCCTCAGGGATGTCTCCCAGACCGTTGCCAATAGCCCATTGTGCAGCTCTAGTGTGACGTAAATAAAACTACAACTGAGGACTTTTTATGTCATTTAAATATAAACGAATAAAAAGCAAAGTTTCGAAAGGTATTCAAAGGTCCATGGCATTTCACATGGTATATTTTACAAGAAAATTCAACCGACAAGATCAATACATCAACGAGTGTAAGATTTTATTTTGCTGTCGTTCACGAATTAAATTACAGTGTAGTTGATTAACGAACAAAGTGAGGATCTAGCTAACCACCATTAAGGAAAATAATTCGTCAACAAATGATCTATTTAGTAATATTAGTTTAACAAACGCTTAAAAAAAGGACTTTAGAAGATTTTTTTTCTGGATCCCGGGTATCTATTTTATGTGCGTGTTCGCAAATGTTACGCAATCAAGATACCTTAAGTTTCAAGTTTAAGTTAAGTTAGATGAAGTTAAGTTTAAATTTAAGTTAAATAAATATTATTGAGAGACTTCTCTTTATTTCAGACAGATAAAGAAAATTCTCATAAACTATCATCAATTTAAACTCAAGAAAAGGAAAACCAAGAAAGAGATTAATCTGTTCTCCCATTTTTAGCAGTTTGAGAAGAATCTATTTTTTTTTTCATGGGAAATTTAGAGAACAAACATTTTAACATAGGCCCCCCTTAAAAATGGAGTTATTTTCTCTCTTTATAATTCTAATTTAAGACTGCATTTTTTAAATTCGGTACTTATCCATTTCGCCGGTAAATTGTTGCCAATGCTAAGTTACCGATAACAAGTAAATTCATTTTTTTTAATTTAATTTTTTATGTGTTAGCCATTTTTAAGTATGAAAAATAAACAAATAAAATAACGGGATTTATTAGGGCAGGTGAAATTGAAAAATGCCTTTAATTTGTTCAAGCATTTTGAACAAAACATGAAATAAAATAACGAATAAATAATTTAAAAAATACTTTATCGTAAAAGTGTGTTAATAAAACAAACTGACAGTTAGACGTAAAAACATTTAAAAACCTATGTTTGCACTTATTTTTGTTATGGAATGGACATGTAATTTTTCACTATAAGAAAGAAGAAAAAAAACAAGTATTAGGTATTTTGTTCTAAATTTTTGAATTTAAATCTGCTAATTGTAATTTTCCAACTTTTTAAATTGAATTATATTCGCTTGAAATTATTTTAATCTAATTTTTTTAACCCTTATTATAACAATAAAAATATTCGCTTTGTTGTAGATTGTTGAAAGATAAAACTCAAAACTCAACCATTGTTTAAAATGCAACAATGTGTCAGTATTATTTAAAGAGATACATTAATTTAGTGATTATTGTCATTCCAAACTTTGTATTTGGGGCGCTATCTTGAATATTTTTTCAAAGAGATTAATTTTCAAGTCATGAAGTGGCTTAAGAGATTGAGGCGATATTTCGCCAATTTGAGCTCTTGCTCTGGATGCAAGAGTGATCATGCTGGGGATTTGAATGAGAGGAAAATTGCCAAATATTATCGGAAGCGTGCTATTCTGGACACAGTTCATCCATGGGTTTTCCCATTTGTGTCCGTTCAGACGCAAACTGATGATATTTATTGGACAAATCTCTCAGAAAGTGTTCAGACGCAGACTGATGATATAGATTGGACAAACCTCTCAGGAAATGTTTAGGATTACGGATTAAAGAATATGGATAGAAGATTATGGTTTAAGGATTAGGGATTATGGATAAAGGGTTAAGGTTAAAGGTTCAAAGATGAAAAACTTTCAAAAGTACGTACTAATGAGTTCGATTAAAGTAATTGTTAGCATTACTGTATGTTATTCTGGAAAATGTGCTGTAATTCCAGACACGGCTCATCCATGGATTTTCCCATTTGTTCCGGCTCAGACCCAGACTAATGACGAAGCAAAAAAAAAAAGAAAAAAAAACATTTGTATGCCATTAGAATCAGTGGCCATTTTTAACTAATGAAGCATACTTTTGAATTCGTCGTTTCTGTTTTCTTGTTTCGAATCATGCTTCGAAAAACTATTGTTTAAATGTCTACACAGTACTGTACTGTATATTACATCCAGTATACTAAAGTATTTACTTTTATATAGTCAATTACCATTTTTACGAATTCTGATTTTATTTGTCTTTATGTTTAAGGTTGAACCATGTAGGATGACGGATGGTAACTGACAAACGAAGAAACTAAAAATATTTGTAGTCATTAAAATGCTGGTTCAAAAGTGTTGCAAGGCAAATGCTTCAAAAACTTGACGGAAAAAATTGACTGAGAACAAGGCTTCAATTAGCCAAATAAAAGAGAAATAACTTAAAGGCTGTGCGGTTCAGGTTATAAAACCAACATGAATTTTAGATGGGAATCCAATTGTTTGAAGATCTAGACATACTTAATTTTTGACAAATGAAAAACTTTTAGGATGTTTGTTTTCTGCATGTAAAGTAGCTTTATGTTAATAAAAAACTTTAAATAATTCCATGTTTTCTTTTTTATTTCATGATATCATGATATAAATTTCGAAAAAAATAATCTCGTGTTAAATTCACGTATTAAAATTATTCTTTCAGCATCTCAAATTAAATGCTATAGTTATCTTTCTGCGGTTTCCAGAGATGTATGTTAGGAAAAACAACACTTCATCAAGGGACACACTGTCTGCAAGCAAGCAACTAGAGCAGTGTTTCCCAAAATGTGGTACGCGTTCCCCCAGAGGTACGGGAATAATTTAGTGGGGGTACGTGTTCTTATGCGAAATATCTTGCAACAAAAGAATTTTATTTAAAAACAAAGTTAGCCAAGAAAATTTACGAATGCGTGTTTTTCTATGGACTACCTTTTGCAGAGTTAAAAGCTAATGATTAGTGGTGTCAACAGCCAGTTGTGATTTTTTAACTTTTGTGTAATCTTTTTATAGTAAAAATAAACGTATTTTTAAAAAAAATACATTGATTTTTTTATTAGTGGTACACAGCGTTACCAAAAATTTAGAAAGGGTACAATAAAGTCATAAGTTTGGGAAACACTGCTCTAAGGAATCATAATAAAATTAAAGTGTCATTTTTACTTCATTTACCGAAATTTATCACATATTAGAATAACCATGTTTTATTGTTAATTTTACAAAAAAAATTAGTTCCAGAACTATTCGATATAAATGACTAAAATATTTGGTGTTCCCATAGAGCCAGAAACAAAGAAAATTTTACCATTTTTCAAAATATTTCGACCATGAATTTCTTTCTCTGTTATAAAATTCCTGACGCTTTCAGGCAGAGTAGGAAATAGGAGAATTATTATCTACTTTACAAATCGAACTTCTACTTTGTCTATTTTTCAAGAACCTTTCAGATTAAACTCAACGACATACTTTCAAATAAAAGGTTAATACGAGCTGGCGTACCACAGGGAAGTATCCTCGGACCAGTATTGTATCTAATCTTTACAAGCGATTTCCCTATTAACTATAATAACCATAACTATTTTATTGCACTTTATGCTGATGACACAGCAATTGCCATGAGATCATTAAGACCAGATCAAGCAGTTAAAAATCTTAACAAGCAAATGCCACCTATTGAACAATGGTGTCGTAACTATAAAATAGCGATTAACACCGATAAATCTCAACTAATGATTATTAGAAGGAGAAAAAAAATACACACAAAAATAAACAGAGATGTTATCCTATTTAACAACAAAATTCCTATCCCTAATAAGGCTACTTACCTGGGTGTAACCTTCTATGACTAACTCACGTGGAACCTCCACGTACAAAATATTATTAATGAGACATATGCAGCTTTCAACTTCATTAAGCAGATCCTAAATGCAAATTCATCTCTCCCGATTGACCTAAATCGTTTGCTATATTTGCAATGTCTAAGACTTATCCTTACTTATGCATGCCCCGCTTGGAGAAATATAATCAACAACTCTCAGATTATTAAACTTGAAATAGTCCAAAACAAAATCGACACATCACTGGTGCTCCTCGCTTTGTCCCAAATTTAAATATTAGAAACAACCTAAAATGTGATCCAATTATGAATTATATTAACAGATTAAATGCTAGCTTCTATAAAAAGTCAAAAATCATATTTTACACTCAAAAGTCATATATATATATNATGTATATATACTTAGTTTTGAGACATTTCCAAATCACTTACCAGCTAACATCTCTTGTGAAATTGTAGTTGGAGTTTCGTCATGAGCCTTGCTCCGTGTGTTGATTTCCAAAGATTGAATAATAGGCCGAGGTGTTGTTGAATCAAAATTATAGTCTTTGGTTGGTTTGATTAAATCAAGAGACTCTTTGTTGATTTCTAGTTCAAAATAACTTAGTGAAGGCTCTATATTTCCTAAATCTTTAAAAAGGAGAAAAGAGCTCATTACAACCTTTTAATTAAATAAGATATGATTTACATTTTTCTGCATGTTTTTGTTCTTGAAAAGTAATCTGTGTGTAAACTTATATTTAGTCACCAATCTATAGATTATTATTTTCTTTTTCTTAATATTTGATAATTAGACTAATGTAAAGCTATTATTTGCTACTTATCATGCAATTTTCTACTTATTGATATATTGAAATCAACAATAAAAAATTATGTTTATACTTTTAAGAATAAGAATAAACATCAATAACAAGATTAAAAGGGACTTCTTTTTCATACCAGGTAAATTTTGCGTAATTTTAGCAATCTTCTCGAAGCTTGGCACAAATGTTCCCTTGCCTTTTGAGTTTACTTTAAAATTATAAAGATACAAAAGTATGCGTTAATTAAATCAAATCATCTTACGTTGGAAAAGTTAATTGAAGGCAATAAATTAAAATATACGTAAATTCTTGTGGAGTCAGGCTAACCGAGAATTTTTAAAAATCTGTTGCTGAGACTCTGTTGTTGAAAATCTGTTGCTGAGATTCTGTTGTTGAAAATCTGTTGTTGAGACTCTGATTCTCAGAAGAACTAAGCGAATCAACCAACTATCACTAGGATATGAACCTTAATTCCTCCAATTCATTTCCCTTATGATCTAATTAAGTACGAGTATGCAACGCGTTGAAATAATATACTTGTATTCATAGATATAAATATATATTTACCGCAGGTGAACTGATCGTTAACCCCTACCTTCTAGCTCCCGTAAAAATGACGGAGTGAGGTTTCGCCCTCTATTTCTCGCTCCCGTGAATTTTCCGGGATAGATTTGTTCAGTAGTAACGCGTGCCAATGAGAATAAAATAATTCATTTCTTTTGCCCAGAAAACATTTTATTTATCATTTTACACACCAGAAGGGAGTACCAGGATATTTTTAAGGTAATTGTAGATAGTTAGATTATTTTAAACTGGATGTCAGCACTTATCAAATACGTGTATTTGGAAAAATGGGCACTTTTATGACCGTTTTCTTACAAATTAACCGATCGTTAAGGGGTTAAAGACACGGTTGCGGTGGAAATATCACTGGCTGCTATGAGCAGGGTGACCACTATCATCTGTGTATGGACCGAGCATGTGTATGGGCCGAGAGTGCGCGGTATCAGTCCTCATTAAACTGCTTTACCTTAAAGTGCTCGATTTCGTACGCAGGTCATGTCGGACTACTAAAGCAATCCCATCTGCAGAGGGTCTAAAGTTGTGATAAAAAGTCTTCGGATCCACCTCAGGGATGTCGCCCTGACCGTCACCGATAGCCCATTGTGCAGTTTTAGTGCGATTAAAATAAACAACCTACCTTCTGTTTGAATTCGTTTTCAATGCAAAAAGATGAATTTTGGGATATCCCCATAACCAAAGCAAAGGATGCGAATAAAAAATTATCCCGTACACTTTACCCTTGGAGTATATTCCTTTATATTTGAAACTTAGTTTTTCTAAGTTTAAATTTATTTTTCTAACAAATTCATTAAACTTAATAAAATCTAAGAATTGAAACATACATACCATGCATGAAATGTATTTCATTTGCATTTGGTAGAAATCTATGATCGATACACTGGCTATCTTGTTTTCTTATGTGCCCCTTTTTACAAACACATCCGTTTAAATAAGTAGGTGGACAAAATTTTATATCGCCATTTTCAGAAACACAGTATAAATTTGAATCTTGAATAGATTGCAAGTTGCTTCCTTCTTCTCCCTCTGGGCAAGAATTCAAGTTCTTATCTGAGATAAATATTATATAATTAGATTTGTTTTCAGAATTTGAAACACTAATCCATTTTTCATCAGAGGATTCAAAGTTATTTAGCATTATAACACAAAACTTATTTTTTCTCTGAGGTTGTATTATTTCCAACATTTTTATTCCCTCGTAAAGGAGCTTGATGCATTCTGCTTAGAAAACTATATATGATTTCCTTACAAAATTTAAAATTATTAGTCAGGCTCGTGAACAAATGGCACAACTAACTTTAAAAAAAAAAACTCAAAAAACAACACTTCACAATAAAAAATTTATACTCAAAACTTCACAAAATATTTTTCAATTTTTGCGAAAAAGTTTCCTGGTGTATGCTCCTAACGGACATTTCGTCAATGTGACAGCAAAATAATCACTGTCCATTCTTTGAAAAAACGAATTTCGTCAATAGTAAAGAAAAATTTTGTCATTCCATTTTTTTTCTGAGAAAAGAAATCATAGTGTCTATTGGATCTAACTTTTCTAATAATCATTTTATCGTGGGCATCATATAACTGGGTCATTGCCACCTTAATAACACAAGAAACACAAAAACACAAAGAGAACAAATAGATGAGACACACTCAAATCCGAAGCTGGGTTTGGACCTGCGATCTTCCGAGCCATCTCCTTGCCCATTATACATTATACAATATGTTTGTTTGTTTGTTTTTGTCACTTTATTTTCAATCGTCTAGTCTTCATCCTAGTTTTCTCATTCTAATTAACAATCACCCTCAATGCCCTACGATGAGGTTACGAGTTGAGGAAGCATTCTCCTCGCATATTTGAGAGTTCCCATTTCGTCACAAATCGAGTGATTTCGTGATTAAATAATTCACAAAATATAGCTCAAGAATTGCTGAATCATCAAAAGTGAGAGCTTTTTTCATAGAGTATTTCTACCGAATGCTAGATCATTTTTACTTCAGAATCTGCACAAACAATGTTCAGAATAAAAAATTGTAAATTCACTGAAAACCGTTGCAAATTTACCTAGTATTTCCCACTCTTAAACATTCGGTATGGGCAAAGTTGAGATTTGAGCAACGGAAAAAAAATCTCAATGGTGCATTTAAACGCTTATGTTAATTACCTCGTTCTTCCTCAGGAATTAACTACTGCTTTAGATGCTGCTTTAGCAGGTAATCAAAATTTTCTGTCAAAAAAAGTCCTAAATATTACTTAGTAATCAGTATGATAAATTTAGTATTTTTTTTATTTCCGTTTTCCAGTCATATTTGTTATAAAAAATAGGCTGTCTACTAGGAAGAACCCATTTCTTCAAGCAAAAATTAAAATTCTGGTTAAAAACCGTACATGTATGGTAACGATATTTCTAAAGAAAAATCATAATTCTTGTAATAAAACCAAAATATACGGTAATTTAACCATTCATTTGATAATTTTTTCTATTTATTTGGTAACGGTTTACCAGAAATTCTGTTGCAGCACTTATTGCCACATAGTTTACAAAAAATGCAAAATTGAAAAGTAAATGTAACTAAATAAATGGTTATAATGCCATGCTCAAGTTAGCATGATAAATTTACACATTAACTGCAAAAGAACATTGTAATAAAACCTTATTTTACTGTTCATTTTACAAAAGTCATTACCAAAGCTCATCGGTAAAAATTAACGAGGTCTTAGGTGTTCCCATTGAGCCAGAAGCACTGTAAATTTTCCCATATTCTGGTAGTTTTGATCAGACTTTTTTCCCAGTATACGATAAGTTAACTCGTGACCGGAAGGCAAAGTTTTAAGACTCACATTTAGAAATAAACGAATTTGTTTACGAATAAATGCACAATGCTGCTTCGGCAACTCAACAGAATTCGTTTTTTCCCCTGTATGCTTTTTTTAACTTTTTAAAAAATAGCAGTCATTTTATGTCTGGAATTTTTATTCTGACAGCAATAAGCATTCATTTTAGCAAAATTTCTGGGTAATTCAGATTCTTTATGAACGATAAATATTAAAATTCACTGAAACTCTTTGAATAAAATTGAGAAGCTATATAACCAGCATAATATAAAGTATTCCAATGAATTTTAAACCTACTTTTGATGTTGTTTTTAGGCTTTTGATTCAATGAAGAGCATTTTTCTGTTAAAACACACTTTCCATATGGACCACGAACAAAGCCTTCATCACAAACACACCCAGAGACGCACATGTTTGAGCATTTTGTTTCTTGGTCCCAATTAGAGCAATTCTTTTGACAATGCGCTTTACATCCTTCAAAATGTTCATCAACTGGGCAATCCATGGCTATGGTACCTATATAAGTATAGCATTTCAAAAAATATAAAACTGTAAGGATGTCTCAATATTTAGGCAAGATTTGAATTAAATAAAAAATGCAGTTGTTGTTTTATTTTCAATTGCATTTTTTTATGATGAACATGAAGAACGTAGAATATGGTTATATGGTATAGTAAATGAAATAAATCTAAACATTTTTTCACTTTTTTAAATTTTTGACTGTAATTAAATTTAATAATAAAAATAATAAATACGAATTACTTTTTGCATAGAATTATCCGTGGATAAATGAATTTTATAACTGTGAACAGAAAGTAAAATTACCGTTAAGAGCTCTAAACTTTGGACCACTCTTGTGACCAAACTATTCGAACCATACCTCCAGGATGGAGGTTACTCTTGTTTTTTGAGAGTTATTAAAGTGAAAATCCGTCGAAAGGGTATGTTTATTTAGTGACAGTATGCGTTTGTATTTATATATATTCGGAACTTAAAATATCGTCTGAATAACTTATGGAGAATATTTTATCGTGACCAAAAGTTATTCAGGGTGATTCATTTTTTCACCGCATTGTACATAAAGCGATGCAAGTAAATGGTTGAAGCCGATTACTTTGAGTTTCTTAGTTGTTGAGTTAATTGTTATATTTTTAAAGGTTATCTTGAAAAGTGATCTTCGAGAGAAATACGCATCCTGTGTATGAAGCAGGAATGTGTCTATTCAGGGTAATTCTTTTGTGTGTGAACTGTGCTTACATATTTTGTTTTCTGAGTTTTAATGCATTGTTCTACGCATTTTTAATTACTGGTTCATAGATTAAATGTGATTTTTCATAGATTATATTTGATATCTTATATATTATATTGATATTTCAAGTATTTAAATCATTGATTACAAATTTCAAGCGTTATTATTTTTTTTACTCACAAAAGTAACTTCCTCTCTCTTTCATGTTACAAATAATATCTTTGTTTTCTACTTACAACTGTAAGCCTCATGCTATACTTTGTGGTGCATGAGGAGTTTTAAGTCGTTTAAATAAAATAAAATAAAAATTTAAGAAAAATTTTAAAAAATAACAATATCTTTCTAATCTTACAAATCATACCACTTTCTTTTAGTTATTTAGTTTCATATTTTAATGGCAAATCACCATACAAACCTGAGACACTTTGCAAGGTATGACGTGTTGGACACTTGCGAGGCTGTATGCAATTTCCATAAGGTCCTCTAACCAGACCATTATCGCAAATACATCCAGGTACACATATTTTTAAACATACCACTGAGGGATCACTCCAATTGCTGCAATTCCTTTGGCAGTGAGCAAGGCATGGACTGAAAAATTCCTTCGGTGGGCAGAAATCTTCATCTTCTTCTTCTTCTTCTAAAAACGTCTTAAATTGGTAAAACTAATTTTGTCATATTAATATTAGACTTTGTAAGCAAAAATTTTTAAATATATATTGTAATATATATTGTAATATTTGCTATACGCATTCTTAAAAATTTCAAAACACATCTCATAATGTATAACTCTTTAGACTAGCTTTGTCTCGCTTTGTATCGTAAAAACATGGTTCCCAGTAAAGCACCTGAAGTCAATCATCACTGGCTGCAATCAGAAAGCGGAAGGGTAACCACTTTGACCAGCATAGGGACTGAGGTTGTGCGGTATCAGTTCTCGTTAAACTATTCTGCCGTAAAGTGCTCAACTTCGCTCAGGGGGTCGAGCTGCGAAAGCGAGGGAGCCATCCCCTCTGCTGAGGGTCAAAATTGTCATGGCATGTCTTATCATCCGGAGAGATGTTTCCTAAACCATAGTTAATAGCCCATTCAGCGGTCAGCTTTAGTGTGACGTAAATAAAGGAATTATTACTATTACCATTACACCAGTTTGTGTAATGAGAATAAGTTTTCGCGCTATTATATATTTAATTTCAATTTTTATCTGTGTACTGTAGCTAGTATCTAGATGTGAGCCAAGTTGCTGCTATGTTCGTTTGTTTTTCTCTCTTTTTTTCGCTTTTTCGATGAATAACAGTTTGAAAAAATATTCTATTGAATGAAAATTAGTTATATCCAAGTTATTCGATAACCAAACTTAAAAATTCATGTTTACAAGAAAAATACAAAAGGATAATACTTTATTACAATATTTTACCTGAGTAAGTATCAAGTGTTGAATATATCGCATAATATTTATAAACATATAAATATTGCTATTGTTGCGAAATCCAACAACAGCCTTTTGAATCATATTATAAAAATTAGTTACTGAAATGCAAATAAAATGAAGTTTGGCTAATTTGCAAAAATTGTTTAATACTTAGATCTCTTGCATATTGTAAAACGACTTTATATTATCTAAAATATAATCATGGGAATCATGTAAAGTATCCATGATGAGAATCATGGGAAGAAAACATTTTTACAATAATTTTACGAACGACGTGAAATAATCTAAAAAATTCAAAAAGTGATTTTAGGGATTTTTCTAGAGCCTAGGAGCCAGAGCGAAATAGTTTTTTTTTAACTAAAATTCCTATGAAAAGTTCGAAAGTAATCAAATGATTTAATATTCTACGCTTACCTTCTGCTAGTCCTTCTTCTAATAATGTGCACTGCTCTATAGAAATACATTCTCCATTGCCATCTCTAACATAACCTTCATTACAAATGCATCCCGAGATGCATTCATCAGAACAAGGAACTGGATTTATCAGCGTAGTGCAATTATTTTGACAGTGAGCATTACAGAAGCTATATTTCTCATTTTCGAGACATTCAAAGGAGGTAGCTGAGGAAAAAAGACAATATAAAATCATAAAATGTTTCAAAGCAAAGCAGTCAAATAACCATTAAGAAAAGATTCAAGCTGTTAACTGTGAGGAAAACCGTTTATTAACTCCTTTCACCTAATACGGTTTAAAAAACCAGAATTTTATCGCACCAACTAGCCCCACTTAATGAAGTCACTTGGCTCCTTGCAGCTGTGTACATACTACAGCCTAGAGGAATAATCTGTCGATCTCATGACCGTCCAAACTGAGTTTCAAGTCCCAGTGTTGACACCATAATATTGTCTCCATTCCTTTCAACAGATGAAGAGGTTCCAGTGTCCTGCACTCCCCAATTTGCGATCCTGGACTAATAAAATACGATACTCTCATTCACGAGTAGATGGTATCACCGTAAAGTTGCTTAACACGAAAAGTATAAATATTTCCCATCTCTTAACGATAGGTGAAACAACCAGATATACTAATTAAACAACATTCCATGGTTCATTTGAAAAATTCCTCACAACCAAAACCTAACTCCAATGCCCATAACCAAGCGAAAAGCCTAGCTCTAATGTCTAATTAAAATTATTTTTTGAGGTTTTGAAACCAGGTGAGTAGTAAATGGTTTCAAAACCATAAATTCAAACAAATGTTCATTACAGTAAACTTTACTCTTAATTGGATGGACTATTTTACAGTAATTTTGGAATGAAAATTCGTACTAAGTGCAATATATTAAACAAGGAAAACTGTTCGCACCAGCGATAAAAAAAAATCCAGACTAATATAACATTTGCAGTTGAGAAGTAACAGCATTAGTTCTTAGACTAGTTCTTCTCATTTCTTGTGGATGACAACCTATCTTTCACACCAGAAAGCATCGTACTTCATTTCGCCTCTGTACATACCTCTTTATACTAAATTTCCATTGGTGTTTATGAAATAAAGCTCTTATAACTTGATTACAAACGTTCCATTTCGAAAACTGTTTGTTGCATATGAATATGTATCCTTCGGGTTTGTTTTTTGCTCTTTTTTATAATATTTCAAATACAATCATTAAAAATGTGAAGTTTGTATCTCGTTTTAAACGTCTATTGTTTCCTTAATATTTTACAAAAGAAATTGGTTTTCCTCTATTACAATTTCCACCTCAATCGATACTTTATAATACAAAATTATTATTATTTTTTACAACTTAAAACTTCATAGCTCATTTGATCTATGAATAACTGGTGATTTACTCACGTTAAAATAATTTTGTGTTTGTGATATAACAGTGAATTACGAACTATAAAGGGAAAAACAACATTTTTCATCACAAAATTAAGTATAAAAAAAGTAAATTATCTCAACGAAATTTCATTTTAAAATTGATTTTTAAATGAGGTTTCGAAAGGTTATGTTTCCAATGATACTGTATTATAATATAAATAAAGTTATTTTTATAATGTTTAAAATAATTACATATTTTTTCAATGATTGCAACTAATAAATTTAAAATTTTGCACCATTTTTTAACTTTAGTTTATATTTTACTATTGTAAAAGTTGATAGTTAATATAATAAAGCGTTTAGTTTTTCCAATGTTAACAACTATACTCCGTTGCAAGTTTTAAAAAAAGACCTTGCTGTACATGATTTAAGTAATCATCCACGATTGCATTTAGTTCCGTTTTATTTCGTAATCAAATTATACGGGTTGTAAATTAAATAGTGGCAACTTAACCTTGAAACTCACAAAAGGGCGCGCATGCGTAAATAGGGTATGGGTGCGGTGAGGTGGCGCTGTTGTCGATGTGTAGAGTGCAAAAAACAGTCGATTTGCTTAGAAGGGTAGTTGTTGCGTGGCGTTAAAGTGAGGAGTTTCGTTTCCATCGCTCTAAAGCATGTTGTGAAAAGGCTTAATGACGAAAAAAGACGAGATGCTTGAATCCATCGTGCTACTGTCCTATATGGTAAAGCATTTGCTCCAAAGGCTTCCACTAATCCTCGATAGCATTCTGTTGCATTTTTGCCACGGGCAACCTCGATTGTAAGCCACGACCGCTGATCACCTTTTGAAACCATGCTTTAGAGCGATGGAAACGAAACTCCTCACTTTAACGCCACACAACAACTACCCTTCTAAGCTAATCGACTTTTTTTTGCACTCTACACATCGACAACAGCCCCACCTCACAGCTCCCATATCTAATTTGCGCATGCCCGTCCTTCTGTGAGTTTAAAGGTTAAGTTGCCACTATTTAATTTACAACCCTCGTACAAATATGCTTTCAAAAAAGAAAAGCTTATAAACGTTAAACACGTCAGATAGAAATTTAATTTGTGCTTATTTTACGATAGATAGTACAGAATTGATTCTTTAAAAAAAGGTTTAGTTTCATAGTCTTACTGGAATCCTAGACTTAGCGACATATTTCGATAAATAAGAAGAACATTCGTTCTTGAAAAAAAAATAACTATATGATGTTGCAAGAGCAATAGATTTGATTGGACTACTGAAAATAGCGCGTTTTATGCAGACATGCTCTAAACAAATCAAATGCAAGATAAAAAAAAATTTACTTTTGTTTCGCTGTAGAAGAAAATCCTCTGGTAGAAACAATATTATTCTTTCCTCAGTTTCTATAAATACGATCAGAAAGACGTATATTTGTCATGACATTTAGATATCATTTTTATTAATTCTTATTACTTATTACGGGATTATTGTTGTTAATGACTGTTATTATTATTAATAAAAAGTAAGCTGCGGAAAGGAAGCTATGCAACGTCGTTTCAAGAGTTGGTGATATTGATATACGTTCACGTTGGGAGCTTGGCATCCATTTGGCGTGCATTTAAATGCAAACAGGCTCTCTCCAAAGGGATAATGGTTTTTTCTTAACTTGCAACAGAGTATAGTATAAAATTTTAAAATTTTGAATAATTCAAAACTATATATTTTACTATTATAAAAGTTGATAATCAATAAAATTTTCGTAATATACTCTACATTTAACTAGGTCATCAACATCAAAATCTTCTTCCTCTTCGTTTGAATTGCACTCTTCGATTAATACACAATCATTTTTCAGCCCTCTTACATATCCGGTATCACAGACGCATCCAGAAAAACAACCAATCGGACATGGTATAGGAAGTCCCAAGGTTGAGCAGTTATGTTGACAATGAGCTGAACAAAAACTGAAATGCTCATTTTTTGAGCATCCGAAATCAGCTAGAAGAAGAAAAAGACTAGTACTCATTATTTGAAAATAAAATTTGCTTGAGTTTTATTTCATAAAAGCATGCTTTTGTTTTAAAATGAATAAGAGGAATTTCTTGAAACTATAATAGAGCCTACATTATATTTGGAACTTATGTCTGATATTAAACAAAACGAAACATTAGTGATTTTTAAGACATGTAAAATCATATCTTTTTCAAATATAATGTAAACAGAAAAAACGCTGATTTCCTTCTTTAATAATTTCACCGATTTTTACGCACATAATATAATTAAAATTACCGGTAACATAGTACGCACTTAAATGAATTTTTTAAAGTAAAAGTATATCTTTAATATTCTTATATAAGTGCACATTTAAAAGAATTTTAACAATTCCATTTATCTGGACATTTTAAAATGCTATAGCAAAACCTGATTACAAAATCGGTATTTTTTTATCGAATCACAGGATTATTTCCCTGACTTAGACCTTTTGGAGCTCGCTTCAAAATGTTCTGTCGATTCAGTTCGAAAACAGACAGAAACGTTTAAACGGTTTTAACCTTAAAAGAATAGTGCAGATATTCCATCCTTCTCTCTTTATTATAAACAAGCGAATTTGTGTTGAAGTAAGATGTTTTGCAGACAAACTTTTCATTTTAATACAAAATTTTCTCCAACGCTGCACGGACAGCATTTTTTATTTTAACTTTCTCATCAAAATAAAAATTCATACAATAGTAGTACTTTATTTACGCCGCCCTAGAGCTGCACAATGGGCTTTTGGCGACGGTTTATGAAATATCCCTGAGGATAATCCGAAGGCATGCCATCATAATTTTGAACTTCTGCAGAGGGAATGGCGTTTCCCGCCTTTGGTAGTCCGACTATCTACGTGTGAAGTCGAGTACTTTACTGTAGACCAGTTTAACGAAGATCGATACCGCACACCCTCGATCCCTTTCAATCCTATTAAAGTGGTCACGTACCCAGACAGTGACCGGTGTAAGTAATATTTGACTTCGGTGACCACCGTACACCGTATCCATATGCTTACATTATACTACAACAATTTATATACAAGTGCAGGTAGTCTTAGCATTCACCTGGCCACCACACTACGCTCCTCAGCCTTCAACTGCATGTAGACTTTTCCTGCTCTGAAATCTTCGGAGACATAGCCTTAATGTGAATTCCTTATAACTAAAACACTATCAGACGTTAACATGGGGTATTTTACTTGAGAAACCTTTAACATAAGGACCTCTTATCTGGGAAATAGAACCACGGCAAGTCGTGGTTAAAGACTAAGCCCGAAACACCGACCCCCTTACTGCAATAGTGTATTTTTCTTTTTTAATAAAGAACCAAGTTTTCTTACTTAGATAAGACCAACTTAGTAAAAGTTTTAAAGATAATATTTTAAGAGAACTAGAAAAAAAAGTGACCCTCCAATTAAAAAACGTCAATAAAAGTTTAAAAATCCAATATTTTATTTTAACAGAATTTTCTGAAAGTGTAGAAATAAATTTTTGGTTTACAAAATCTCGACTTATGTTATCCTTTTTAAGTAATTCTTATAGAGTAAATATTACTTAAATTTATAACCAATCTCTTAATTATGTATAAGAAAAAATAAGCTTAAAGTTGAATTTCAAAATTTAGATCAGTTGTATAATTCTCCCACTTTGGAAATAAACATTGGTGGAAAGGCTGAATAACAGACACATCCAGAGAAAAGCTTATGAGATTCTGGATATTTGAACGCTTCGGCAGTCTTTTCTTTTCTAATAATTTTTAAATAAAACATTTTTTTCAAAGTGTTCCCTCTTAAATTTATGTAAGTGTAAACAAGTAAAAAAATGTTTTACTTACCTACTAGTTCAGTTGTAGGTAAAGCAGAAAATTCTGAAGTTTCGAGGTACCTCTCTGATTCATCTTCAGAATTCCTATTTGGAAATCCGAAAGAAAATGGCAACAAAAAGAAAACTAAATACCGTAGCAATTCCATATTTACTGTTACGGCGAGAGGATTTGGAAAAACTCTGAAACTAATTTTGAAATACTGCTGTAAGTTGATACTTCGGTCCTCAGTAGTAATCAAAATGATTATCTCCTTCACGTCATGAGAATAGAAGGAAAGTATGAGAATGTTTCAGTTTCGTTTACATGATGAAACTATATCATATTACTGTTTGTGATTTGTAAAAGATAACGAATGAATATTTATGTTTCTAAGCAATTTTCATTTCTAAAGAAAATGTTATTTACTCTAAAATTAAATGTTTATGTTTGCTTAAGTTGAATGATAGATAATTTGTAATATTCTTAGAGTTGCTTAAGTGTATATTTAAGAGTGACTTGATCTATTGCGAAAAACGAAACTGAACTGGAGTAAATATATCGTAAAATCGTTGTAATTTGAAAGCAGCTTTCATTTCTAAAGAAAATTTGCTTTGTTTTAAAATTAATTATTTATCTTCAGTTGAGTGATATATAATTTTTAATATTTTAAAAGTTGCTTAAATGTTTGTCTGCTTTGATCGATTACAAAAAACTAAACTGAATGGTAGTAACTAAATTGTATTAATCAAAATTTTTATAACACTTTTGAAGTGATCTTGGACATTTGTTACATTACCAACAGAATCGATCCCTTGCCCGTAACGCATCCCTTGCCCGTAACGCATAATTGTTTCGCAACCAATTTTGGTTATTGACGAAAAGCAGGTAATTACATCAAAAGTATTTATTTATGGAATGTCAAAAATTTTTGGTTTAGTTGCATAAATTTAGTTCTCAATTCTATTGAAATAAATCTTAAACCTTACCATTTTTAGGTTGTTTTTTTTTTTAATTTTTTTTTTATTGAATGTTTTATTCCATAATTATTTAGCAATAGTGTCAAAAGTTAGTTTCTAATACTGTTTTCTATTAGACATTTTGTATTCCTTTTTTAATTGCAGATGTTTACAAGAGACACTATTATATAAATGTTATTATAATGTAAGTGTAATTTATTAACCCTTTGTTACTCCAAGAGTTAGGTCCCTGCTCAAAATTGTGCGGAAATTAACATGCTACTCACTATTCTCCAATTGAATAACAAGGGGAAACAAGTTTTTCGATGCAGGAAAGCTTGATGCTAAAAATTCAGAAAAAAGCCGGGACTAACTCTCAGAGGGTCAAAAATTACGAGTATATAATATATAATAAAATGTTGTGTAATAGGGAAATGTAAAAAATGTAGTTGTAACAAAGTAAGAACCATCAATTTACTCATTTACAGATTTAATTTGAAAAATGGTGATCTCAAAAATTATTTTAAAATCTATAAATAAAATTAAAAAGAATATAGTAGAATTTTTTTTTTTTATGTTAAAAAGTGAAACGTATTTTTAAACTGATCTGCTTAAAGCAATGTATACCAATTTACCAATGTAACAAAGTAATATTGTTAAATTACTTTTTTTGCTGACACATGAGACAAAATTCATTGAAACCAAAATATCTTTATTATATTTTTATATTTTAACTAAAGAATTTTTTTTATATTTTATTACAACTATAAATTCAAAAAAATAATTATTATAGTAAGAATCGAACTGAAAGTCAATCTTCATTCAAAACAAACACAATGTTCTTCTTTAATACCTATACACATACCATATCTATGCCCAGAGACCTTGCATTGTCTGTTACATGATGGTTCGTCTGGACATTTATCTTCAGAAGGAGATTCGGTAAAAATAAGATCTAAAATACAAAATTAAGACAACTTTATTTAAGAGCATGATTAGTACCAAATAATATTGTCTATGAGTGACTCAGTTCACTCACAGAACAATTAACCAGGTGCTAAACACGTTTGTAATTATTTATGGGACTTTTGAGACATCAATTTTGTAAGAACTTTGAATCTATAACGTCTTTTTGACGTCATCGGAGAGCTTAGAGTATGAACAATTGTATGTTACATTTTAGTGGATCTTTCTTAAATTAACTATAAAGTTTATACGTTGACACTAATAAATGAGGATAAAGTCATGTCTTTATTTCTTATTTGATTCTCCCTATTGATCCCCTCTTTAGGCATTTTTATGTGCGAAAAGATATTTTCTTCAAGGTTACTAATCGGCTATCTGTCGCCAAATTCACTTGGAATTTTCTTCCACTTCGAAAATGCTCAAATATTGTCTCTTGGTTTCTTCATTTCCTTCATCCTTCGAGAACTCGTCACCCTGTCGGTGTAGTGCTTGGTCGAAGCTTCGAGAAAGAATATTCATTGGGGAAGAAGGCTAGCTTCCGTAAGCATAATGCAAACCAGTCTCTAAAGGTTTGGTGTTGTCCCTGTGTTCAAAAGATAAAACAACATTTAGGGGCACAACAACAGAAGTTCTTAAAATGGGATTGCACTCTCTCCTAATTTTTTCTCCTCTGGGGAGGAGAAAGTTCTCGTTTTATTTATTGTTGGTACGTTCTGTATTTTTACGCTATTGCTAAACAGTACTGTATGATTAGTTAAGATATTTCGTTGAGAATGCATTTATACCACCCATGTTATTTAAATCATCTAACATTTTGACATAGAAAGAACGAGTAAAATAGCGGGAGATAGCGTACCCAACCATACATGTAGAGTTGTCCAACAAGCGGTTCACTGTTGACGTACCTCCTCGACTGTCACTTTGCTTCATATGCGCATGCGCAGGATCTCCTTTGGTATAGGACACCGCACCGAAAAGTTCCCCACGTTAGTTACGTATTCAAAGAGCTGAACTTCTTCTTCTTTCTATATTCTTTGGTTTCGATTCCCCAAACTAATGGTCAGACTGAAGCTTCTCCAATCGTGTCTCCTCCGTTGTGGTTTGTCATCCAGTTTAATGCAATGTCTCTAGTGGTTTCAAAAGCCAAAAAGATTCATGGATGGTTGAGTGGTTGGGAAGCGTAGTGCAGCAACTGGGGGAGGTGATTGCTACCATCATCCGCTTTTAATCTAAACTGTATTAATGTAGTGTGCTCATGACAATATATTGTCAGTGAATTATTATTAAGATGCATCCCAAACCGTCACCAATAGTGTTTCTATAGTGCAGCGTTAACAATGAAACCATCTATATTTCCAAATTTAATGATTTAGTAAAATAAATTAATGTTAAATAAAATAGAACCAAGAATAGGAGGGCTCCCCTAGCATAATGGAATAAGGTTCTAAGTGATATAAAAATTCCATTTAACATTTCTCCCCTAAGCTCTTCAACTTATTAACCTGTTATCGAGTTAGTCATTAACCTCAAATATATAGTCCAGAAGAATAAATTTCTTAAAAAAATAATTTTATCTTTTGAGTCGTTACAAAAAAAAGTAAAACAGTTAAGGATTTTCGAGTATAAATGTGTGATAATGATCTTTTGAATTCGTCGATAAACTGTCTTTAATTAGTTCTGGGATTTAAAGTCAACTACATCTTGTCAGAGATTAGAGTGTGTTTATAATATGATATTAACAAGCTGCTGGCATACCGTTTTTGTCATTGCATTCTAAGTTCTGTAGCTATTTTTTTTCTTTACAACTACAAATTCGTACATTAAAACTCTTTTTCCGCACCAACATTACAATTTATATTCAATTTTCACAAAAACTGACTCATTTCGCAAGCGTTGAAAAAAGTCATTAAAATTTTTAAAAAAATTTTAAATAAATTCTTTTTTTATAAATTATACAAAATATTTATAAACAAATTCTATAATCTTAGCTTTGATTTGAATGTTAGCGTTGACCTAGAGCTGCACTAAATTGCTATCTGCGGTGGTCTCTGATTCCAATTTATGCACGCAATATATTGCCAGGGTTTAAAATTGGAGAGCAAATAAATGGTAGTGGTGATCAGTCGATCTTCGTTCCACGCTTTCCAATCGCTAGGCCAACCATGAACTTTTCTCGATTCTTAGAGCTGCCACTCGATAGAAAAAAAAAAGCCATTCGTCACCCCACCTTCTACAAGGAGAACCAAAGTTATGAATTAAGAGGACTCTATCCATCATCGAGATTGCACGATACGTAATGTTTAGCATAAGGCATTAGAAAACTAAGGCAAAATTTTTATACCTTCTGAAACTGTTGAAGATGTATCAGAAAATTCTTGGTTGGCATTTTCAAAAAACAAATTGATTATTCGTAATTTTGATTGCTTTGATTCTGAAATAGAAAAATCATGATACTTATAAGCGGAACAAAATTACTTAATGTTTCATGAAACCTTACGGTATTTATGTTTAAATTTTGTTTTAGCCATTTTAAATACACTTTTAATTAGATAAAAAAGAGTGCAATGAAAATTAAAAAGGATTAATTAAAAATTAAAAAAATATTTTGAAAGCTTGTTTTAAGAAAAAAATATATCATAAATTAAGTTTTTTAATCAATATACCATCATAGGACGAATCTGAGCAATCAGCAGGTAGTATACAGCTTCCGTCTGCTCCCCTCACGTAACCAGGAAGACAGAAGCAACCAGGCACACACTCATCAGTGCATACTGGAAATGGTTCTTGATAATTTAAGCAACTTCGAGGACAAGCAGTACCACAAGTGTCGTAATATTCGCTTAGGGAGCATTCTTCTGATACTACAAAAAGGAATTTGATATTTTACTGTACTTTTTAAATTCCTTATTATTCCCTTTTTTCCAAAACATTCTATAAAATTATGCAAAAAGTTAAAATTTGTATTGCGGAAATAAGTGTGCGTGTGTATTTAATGTAAGCTTAGTGTACAAAAAGGGGAGCACCCTAAACAACTTTTGATCATATGATCAGATTTTAACGAGATAAAAGACTCAATCATAATATATAATTTGAGGTCCTTGCCTGAAATGTTCTAATTAATGAGCGAATGATACTTCAAATTACGAAACCAGATACAAAAACATACTTTCTCTGAAAAAAATACCCTTTTTTATAGATTATGCGGGTGGTGTAGACGCAATTTCAAAAATATTTACCCACTTGTTCTGACACGAACCCGGTTTCGGAAAACTTTCAGCACGGCAGTGGGTTATGTACTTGGTTTTTAAAAGGAAACAAACGAATTTGGGAAGTTTCCTAGCCTCCTTTTTCTATAAATATCCCTAAACTTGACCTTAGTAAAAATTTTAAAAAAAATTGAACTTGAGAGAACATCACGAAAAACAAAAAGTAAAGATTTTATTTTCGGTTACTTAATTACAAACTTAACTATATACGGATTTATTCCATTTTTTTTAGTATCATTGTGTAAAATTCAACTTAAATTTCAATGACATAAAGCTTCCATTCAGCCTTCTTACCTTACGTTATGTTCTGCAACTTACGTTATCAAATTTTGCAGCATCTATGTTAGATTAAACTAAATTTTGTACAATAATTATCTTTATCTGACTACGGTGAGGTAGCAGACTAGTTAGGATTCACGAAGATAGTGCTGCAGATTCACTCCGTAAATTCTGCTGCAGGGGAGAGGAGATCGAGCAGGTGGGAAATTTGGGTCACTTACTGTTAATTTCACTGCTCCCGTATTTCACTATTTCTCGGGAGTTTTTCCAATGAATCCAAAACTTTTTGTCCAGTGAATACAAAACTTTTTGTCCAGTGAATACAAAACTTTTTGTAAAATTCGTTTAGCGAAGGATAATTCCAGGTAAAAGATTGTTCTTAATAATTTTTTATTTTTATTTTATATGATAATCAAACGAAATAATTAGATTCGATAAAAATAATGAACAATTATTAAAATTAATTTTTACATCTTTGGATAAATGAACTTCATCCTTGTGTGCAAGAATTTTTCGATTCGTTTAAAAAAGTTCAATTTTGAAATAAATGCTGAGGGGTCAGTTCTCCTACGTAAACTAATGAAAACAATGGGGAATTTTTAGAATCAAGAATTTAAATTCGTCATAAATATACTTACTCTGAAAAAGAACACTTTTGCATTGGATTTCGTTTCTTAAAATACGGCCTGCACTAATTAATTAGCATATTTCAGATTAGGATCTCGAACTATTAAGATTGAGTCCTGCGCATGAAAATCCAATCATCTAATCAAAACCTAATCAGTGTGCTCACTTTTTTATTTTGAGCACTGCACACAAACTAATTATTAACGCTAATATTTATCAATTATTTTGATAGATAATATGATTTGCTTTAATCTCAAAAGTAATGTCAATATAGTGCAGCCACCGTAAAAAAATGATTTGTGACCAAATAAGAGAACTAGTTTAAAAATTAAAGCAGGTGTTACAGAAACAGGTTATAAATTATATAAAAAATATAATTTATAACCTGTTCCTGTAACTTATAACACTCGTATGTTGTTCCTGAAGATATGCGTGATTATCCTCCAGGTAAAATTCTTTCTTATAAGTACTATTTCCATGTGATCAAAACTGTCCTTAATTTAAGACTATGAGATTGTGTTCATATTTTAAATAAATGTTTTTCACCTTGTACTGAAAAAGACTTCTTCTCAAGTGGGCATCGTTCTAAGGGGATGCATTCTCCAGAGGGGCCAATTACATGTCCTTCATCGCAGACACAACCCGGTACACATATAAGAGGACAAATAATGTGTTCTTTGTAATTTGAACAACTTTTTTGACACAATGGTAGACCATTACATGAGGAAAAGTGTTCATTACTTCGGCAGACTCTAGACAATTTATCTGCAAAGAAGAATAAAAAAAAGTTTAGATTTCTCAATTGAACTTGGAAATATAAAGCACATGACTGTGCACATAATTTAAAGATAAGAAGAAACACATAATTTAAAGACAAGACAGAGAGCTGCATACTATAGAACTAATACACTAAGAGAAAAGGTTAACTAGAATAACTAGGAAAAACTAGATACAATAAAAATGAGAAGTGTCTAGTAACAATTTATTGTTTCATTAAATGACTTTACTAAGAATACCATAGGGATTAAGACACTAAGCTGTTATTGTAAATGACCGGAGATCTATCCCGGATTGACTTTCAGCCCACCCCGACTCATATCGATGGGGACCAACTAATATGAGGCATAAACGCGACCGTTGCTCAATGTTGAGTATGTTACCATCATCATGCTGCTTATTTTGTCTTAATAGTAACTTTACACCAGATAGTAATATTCTTTTGAGAATCATCCAGAGGTTGCAATGCACGTTGCTAACATGTAGGACCAGTTGTCACAACTTCTTAACTACTTATTTCAGCTCAATGAAATCAAATTTTAGGTCTGTATATCACTAAGAGACCTGTCTGCCATTATACCTTTATAGCTCAGTTTGTTCGTTCGATTCCCTAACTATTATTTCGCATGCTTCTACTCCCACAAGTAATGGACACAAATATAGTTATTATTATTATTATTATTATTATCATTATTATTATTATTATTATTTATCAATCTATGTTCAATCACATTTATTAATGNTTATTATTATTATCATTATCATTATTATTATTATTATTATTATTATTATCATTATTATTATTATTATTATTGTTGTTGTTGTTATTATTATAATTATTATTAATATTATTATTATTATTACTTATCAATCTATGTTCAATCACATTTATTAGTGTTTGTCCAGTAGTTTTTAAGATAATCGATCAAACTGAAATATCTCTCAATTTTGAACTGTAGTGCATTCAAAAATTTAAGCTAACTTTTTAATAAACCTGTTCTGATAAAATTAAAGTTTTTGGAATCTCAAGAAAAATTGCATATCGTATGAAAATACTGAATTAAAATAATTTTTTCATAGATTCGGTTTTAAAGCAAACACAAGTTGAATAGCTTACTCTTTGATTGAATAGCGAATTCAACAGATGGGATTCTACACTGTTCAACTGGTACACATTTTCCAGACCTTCCTCTAACAAATCCTTCATCGCAAACACAACCAGGTTCACAAGTTGAATCGCAAGAGATTTCCTTGTCATAATTTGAACAATTTTTCTGACATTCTTCATGGCCCTCACAAGGAGAGAAGTGCTCATTTCTTCTGCATTTATATTGAACATTAACTAAAAATAAGATATAAAATATCACTGTGAGCGCTTAAATTATTACTTTTATTACAGTTCCTTAACTATAACATAATATTAAATCATTTCTTTGAGAGTCGCCTTCAGACATAAAAAATATTATGCTTCATAGTTGACCAACGGAGAATAATATAAACGTCTTCCTCTTATTCATTAAACGACTAATTATTTCATTTTTTTGAATTATGTTCTATTGAACTTAATTACCAATTTCTGAATTTAGAGGTAGATGAATTTCTTTTTTAAAATTTTTTCAAAGTTCAAAGTTTTCAGACATTAAAATTCCTTCCACTGAATAAAATGAAATAAAATATAATCAAAATGCTAATTACATACTTAATAAGTAAAGAAATGGTTGGGTAGACAGATGGTGATGAGCAGGTTAACATGAAGAAAGAAGAATCGTTTTTCTGTTTAAAGGTGACCCTTCTTTTTACATCGGAATGTTCATTCCAGAATGTTCACCTTAGAATTTTCGTTCTTTCCTAGCATTTCATTAAAGATACTTTTTTTTAATTGGTAAAAGTTCAGATGTAATGCATATGATCCTTTAACTAAACTTTACAAATAAATAGTTTCCCCTACTGTTATGTTTAATTTACAATTGCAGATAATACTTATTTTTAATGTAATTATTCCTATTTTCGATCACGATTTGCAAAACCAACATGAAAGTTTACTTCTTAGCAAAATAAATGTTATCAACGTGCTTTTAAGAAAAGATTGATGACGTATTAAACAGCAAGAGTAGAATACCTAAATAAAATTTTAGTGCAAAAAAATTACTATTTTTACTATAAAAGATTACTTTTGAAAGGCTGGTATTACGAAAACTTGTGATAGGTTTCACTTTCATTCGAGTAATTATCATGGAAAATAATTTTAAACATATAGAATTCATAACAAGATTTTTTTAACCTCCAAAAAGAAGACTGATTTCTGACTCAATTTTTTTCAATGGTTCAATTTAAACGAGAGCAGCAAGGATAGCAAACAAATTTGATATAATTTTTTTTTATTTTCAATGAGCTGCACAATCAGTCTTCCCAATGAGCAGACCTAGTGCGTTCTCCAGAAGTGGTATCCACTCTTTCAGGACCACCACAATGGGTGAGATACCATTGGTCATGTTAATTTAGACGTCTAGTTTCTGCCACACTAGATGGCAACACCGAGACTCTATTTGGATGCACAAGGAATTTAATTTCGCCAGAAATGCCAAGAGCCAATAAGGCACTCCAGGGATCTTTTACATGCCGCATAATCATACGACATGGCTTCTGAGGATTTTCTGCATCACGAAAATCCGGTGTCTAGGCCGGGGATCGAACCCGCATACTTGGGCTCAGAAGGCCGACGACAAACCAACTGCGCAACCCAACCACAATTTCATATAAAATGAAAATAAAATATTTTTTCAGTATTGAAACTTGCATTATATATTTTTTTTCACATTTATAAAAATGAATATTCATATTAGGAATTAATATATTCGGACAAAATGTAATAATCAAATAAATAATCGAGTACTTTTCATAGGTTCTTCATCTTCAATGGGAGGACATTCACTAACTGGAATGCAATTGCCTTCCGGTCCTCGTGTAAAGCCCCAGTCACACAAACATCCTTGGACACAGATATCAGGACAAATTAAAGCCTTGCTCCAATTAGAACAATTTCTTTGGCAGAGTCCAGTGCAATATTCCCAATGCTCATGGAGAGGACAGTTGCGGTCATCGGGTGCTATTGAACGAGAAAATGATAAGAAATCGATCAGCATGTTTTGCTTTTGTATTTCTACCAGAAAACAAGTTTAAAGTACGTAAGTGCAAACTTGCAACTTGCACTAACAAAACTTGCACAGCTGAGTTTCATTCAAATATATCATACTCAGTGAGACTTTTGCACTGAAGTCTTTCAGTGCAATTTACCAGTCAATGCAAATAGGATATTAGAGCTTAAGTACGTTGTGCTTTGAATTATTTTCAAGGAATTTTGTAATACATTTATTATAGAAAAAAAAATGGTATTAGAGCCTAAGTATTTTGTATATTGAATTACTTTAAAAGTATTTCGTAATAATTTGAGTCTTGAACAAAAAATAATATTTGAGGCAAAGTATTTTGTTTTGTTTTTTTAATTATTTTCATTGCATTTTATAATAATTTGATTCTTGAACAAGAATAATAATAAAAACCTAAGCATTTTGCATTTTGAGCTGCTTTCAATGAATTTTATATTAAATTGATTCGTGATAAAATTAAAATGGTATGAATTAAATATCATTAGTTTTACTTATCATACTCTATGAGACTTTAGCACAAGAATCCTTCAGCGCAATTTACTTGTCAGTGCAAACAAGATATTAGAGCCTATGTATTTTGTATGTTAAATTATTTTTAACACATTCATAATAAATTGGCTCATTGGTTCCTTAACAAAAATAATACTGGATCCCAAGTAATTTGTTATATTAATTATTTTCAATGATATTTATAATAAACTGATTCTTGAGCAAAACTGATCCTGATATTACAAAACGTCAATTTGAACTTTTGCCTATGGCAGGTTAAGTACATGGTGAAAATACAAGACTTTAAAAATAAGTGCGTTTTCACGACATTTAGTCTGGTTACTGTTTGCGATAAATAGCTGCCATTTAAAAAAAAGCATAATTAATGTTTTTAATTGTTCACAAAAAAATTGATTTTCATTTAAAAAAATTGTTTTTCCAAAATATAGTTCTACTGATTCAAAAACATAAAATTATAGAATGATGATCTAGATCAGCTGTTCCCAATTGCTCTCAGTTATCGATCCTTAAGCGAACGACTTTTCTACGGTGGAACCCCGACTTCAGTAATAAAATTAATTAGCATTTCTGAGCGTAAAAATTAAAGAATGAATTCAAATAATTTTGACAATATTTATTCAGAAAAATGAATTTATCTTTTTTATCAATAAATGTTCTTAATATTAATTCAAACTGCTGTGAAACGAAATAAATGTGTTTTAAGAGTTGAAAATAATTATCAGCGAAACGAAAACGTATTTCTTTATTATTGAATTTTCATGGAGAAAAAAAGAGGTAAAATTACTGCACTGTTAATGGTATTTCCGCACAGAAAAAAACAACACAATTCTGATTAATGAAACCAAAATATACGACATTTAAACCACTCTTTTCGCTATTTTTCTGTTCATATGGTAACGGTTTACCAAAAATTTTGCTTTTTTTTCTTTCTTTCTTTCCTTTTTTTTTTTTTTTTTTTAATTTGCTGCTGTACAGCCGACCCAATTTTTGGGTTCATGACTACTAATGTTCAACTCCGTAGCCCTGAAATTTTGAACTCAATCCAAGAAACAAGAGAACTCCTGGATCAAGTATTTGGAAAATTCGCCTTCATGGAGGACATTTTTTTGAGGAAACTAACCCGCGCAAACGTTACATGCAGAGAAAAACCACGAAAACCTCAAACGGTTATGCTTACTCCAACCCCTTATCCGTCTACCAGAGGATATTTTAAGCCAGCACTGTGGTCGGAGCAAACCTTGTACAAAATTCGTATCAACCAGCCATTGCTGAGATTCGAACCCGGTTCAACTCATTGGATAGCGAAAGCTATTTCCTCTGATTTCTGATCTTTAAAATAATATTTCCTCTCACCATACTTTAGTAGAAAGCAAAAAACTGAAAAGTAACTATAAATAAATAAATGATTTTCATACCACGGTCTATGGTGTCATGATAAAACACAATATTTACCAAATTTTATCACACATTATAAAACCTTATTTCATTTTTAATTTTACCAAAACCATTACCAAAGAGCATCGTTAAAAATTACCGAGCTCTTAAGTGTTTCCATAGAGCTAAAAACACGGTGAATTTTGCAATATTATAGTAGTTTTGACCATATTTTTTAGTATAGCTATTTTACATTTTGAAATAAAAATCTGGATGGAAAATAATATGCAATTCTTATAAATACGCTCCTTTCAAAGTTCATTCAATACATTGTTATTAGGAAAGAATAATATTTTTTTGTTGTTACTTTTTTCCACTGGCATTTTACTTGAATAATTTTATAAAAATAACTGAGATATTAAATTATTGGATTATTTACAGGATATAAATAACATTGCAAGCATTAAAAATGATTACAGGTAGAAAAAAAAAAAGAGTCCGAACCCTCGGAACCCCTCTGAACCCTTCCACGGAACACATTTTTGGGAACCTATTTTTACTTGTAGTTGCATTGATATATTAAGCACAGTTCAGTTTCCCTGTTTTTAATAAAGATTTGTTAGCAGAAATATTTTATGTAATATAACAAGAAATATGGAGAATGTACGTTTAATTAAACCTTATTATAATTATTAGTTGAAAATGTGTTGTAAGAAATTCAATCAATTTTTCAAATTTTCTACAGCTGAATCTTTCAAAACAGCTTCGTAATCAAAAGAATAATCTGGGACTGAATTTTCAAAAATTGACAAGTAATCAAAAGGACTTTCTGGTTCTCTTATGACACGTTATAAAACATATCGAAACCAAAATAATTATACAAAAAATAATTAGAATTTTCAAATTGCATGGTAATAAAATACCTCCTTAAATGAAAATTACTATTAAAATTTTTAAATATTATCTTTTTTTAATATTACTGCTTTCTTAGTATCATCTCAAGTTGCATTTATTATTTTTTATAAGTTAAATAATACTATTTTTACTTACGATAAAGTATATATTTGATAGATGATCCAAAGTTTTCATTTTCTAGAGCTGAATCTTTCAAAACTGCTTGGTAATCAAAAGAACCTTTTGGGACTAAATTTTCAAAAATTGACAAATAATCAAAAGCACTTTCTGTGCTTCTAGTGACACAATATCAAACATGTCGAAACAAAAATAATTATACAAGGAATTATTTTAATTTCCGAATTGCATAATAATTAAATACCTCTTTATATGAAAATTATTACTATTATTAATATTATCTTTTTTTTAATGTAACTGCGTTTTTAGTAGCATCACATGCTGCATTTCATATTTTTTATGAGTTTAATAATACTATTTTTACTTACGGTAAAGTAAATTTTTGATATATGATCCAAATTTTTCATTTTCTAGACCTGAATCTTTCAAAACAACTTCGTAATCAAAAGAACCTTCTGGGACTGAATTTTTAAAAATTGACAAGTAATCAAAATCACTTTCTAAAGTTGAGTCCTCAACAGTCCATCGATAATCAAAAGTGGTTTCAGCAATTGAATCCTCGGTAGTTGATTGATAATCAAAATTACTGTCTGATTTTGATGAATCTTCATATGTTGATTCATATGACTCAGTTGAAAAAGATAATGAAACGGAGAAGATGACAATAAACGTCAGCCATTTTAAAACCTGCATTCTGAATTTTAAAAAGAAATTAGAACCAAAACCAATACAAAGTATTAAACGTAGCTGTTTATAGAAACTTTTAAATGTATCTTATAAAGATGAAAAGCTAAACGCACTATTTAATCACATTCTTATCTATTTCGGTAATGCAATTTTGTGTATGTTACGCACAATTTTTGATGACCAATCTTTAACACATACGACGTCAGCAAGAATATAGCATCCATTATTCAGATCTGCGCTTACATTTATAGAAATTGTTCTTGTTTTTTGGGAAATTAATATGGCGTCTTTTGCATAAGTACTATTTTTTTAAAATCACGATAGCTAAAAATCAGAATTTGTTGTTTTGAAAGGAATAAAAATATTGTCTGCAAAAATCAGTATATAAATTCAGTAAAGTTGCACTGGAAAAAAATTGTGGTCATAAAATTATACAAATAAGAAAAAATGATGAAATTGACTATATTTCATGGGAACACCAAAAAGCTCTGTCACTTTTACCGAAGCGCATTTGTAATAAATTTGATAGAATTAACATTAAAATATGGTTGTAATAATGTGTGATAAAATTCAGTAAATGTGATAATTTCATCATGAATTCATAGAATGGCATAAAAACCATTTATTCGGATAAATTTTCTTTTCTGTTTTCTATTTTTTTATTAAATGTGTGGTAATAAGAACTATAATTTTAAGAAATAAAACCGTTACTATATGAATGAAAAAATTACCAATCGAACAGTTTAAATACCGTATATTTTAGTTTTATAAACTAAAATTATGATTTTTTTTATGAAAATTGTCGTTACTATACGGTGCGGTTATTTTACCAGATTTTTTTTCTTCGAGTGGGTTAAAATTAAATTTTTAACTTACTGTGACTGAAAATATTGTTGAACTTTATGCGAAAACTTTAATATTCATGCTTGCAAAATTAATTCCAATTTAAAATTTATTTTAATGTTTCCTTCCTTTTTTTTAAATTGAATATATATACTCAACCATATATTATATTTTGATATACTACACTATTTTACAATAGAAAATAACTATCGACAAATTAAGGGGCCCACAATGCGGAAACAGTAAAATTTTCCTTTTCCTTAAATTATTATTTTTCTTTTTTCTAAGTGCGAATAATAGCATAAAAATTTAAAAATTCTGGCTCATATGCTGTACATATAAATGGTTCCATCTTAAAAAAAAATTTCACACCATAATAAAACTGTAAATAATAATTGAAGGTGCCACAGACTCGTTGCTTACTTATAATATTAAGATAGTATTAAAACAAAATTAATCATTAAAATTACTAACAAATTATAATTTTAAAATTTTTTCCATACTTTTTGAAACTTTCTGTGACAAGCTATTGGGTTATCACAATTCGAAATAGTTTGTTTTTTACGAAATTAAAATGATTAATTATAGCTTTCCTCATACCTGCAGTCTACTTCATTTAACAAGGAAAATGTTACCAATAAATTTGGATAAAAATTCTAGATTATCAGGGACCAAAACGCAAAAAGCGAAGGTCATGAGTAGAAAAAACACAAAAATATTTGCACAAATGAAATTTGTTAAATAAACTTAAAAAGAAAAAAAGAAGAAAAAAATTTGTCTTTTTAGAAAAATTATATTTGCGAAGTTTCTTACAGCTTACAAAGTTTAAAATTTATTAAAAAGTGTACATTTCCGAGAGTAAAATTTAAATCATGAGTTATTATGAATTAAAAGAACTAATTCATTAAATAGGATAAAAAATAAAATATATAAATGTTTGGTCAGACTCAGATCAAACACAAAACTAAGCATTTGAATAATGCAATAATGCATACAGACAAAGCAAACTTATACACATCCAGATAAATAAACAATTAGCAGTAATTAACTTGATCTGGCAAATATAATTATAAACAATTCTCAAAATTCATCATAGCTAAGACAGTCTCCTCCTTTATCTAATAATTTATGGATTATATGCCTTTTAGTAAGCAGACTGATAGCCAGGAAATTATTTTATAAAAATTTTAAAGTCATCAAAGCATTTTGATTATGCGAATTATGTGCATTCTAAAAATTATGTGAATTAATTATGAAATTTATTAGGTGGATTTCAAAAAGCAAATATTACAACAAAACACTCGACATATTAAATTACTAATATTTACTTGAAAATATGTCATTCTTCATTTCTGTAAGAGATAAGATTATTAATCAATATCTTTTTCAACCCATTAGTACTCGTGCTCCATTTTAGAGGACCGTGGTCAGAAATTATTTTACCGACACAAAAATTATTTTTTTAACTTTTTCTTTCAACTTTTTTCACTGGTATAGAGCGTTCCGTAAGTCATGTAAATTTAGTTTTTTTAATTTACCTGAAAAATGGTTTTTACGATAAAGTAATGATTTTCAAATCCCTTCGTGGTTCTTTTTTAGAAGTCGTAGTCAGAAAATATTTTGCAGACAGAAAAATTATTTTATTTACAAACAAAATATTTTTTTATGCAAAATTTTGTATCTTCAACTTAAATTATTGTTTGTATATTTGATCAATGTTACACAATTATCAAGTGCTCATTTGATAATGTAACGATTTTCTTTCGAATTTTTCGCATTTCCAAGGTTAAATTTGTTACTTTGTTTTATTATTTAGTAATTAATTCATTAGAACTCGAAAGATGAACAGTTTTTTTCTAAAGTTTCGGCCGAAATAGAAGCTCTGGCCGAAATATTGAAGTTCTGGCCAAAATAGATTGAACATTGATAAAAAAAATTATTTTTTCAAGCATGAAATGAAACAATGAAATATTTTTTTTTAAAAATTTTTTTTGCATTTTTATAATTAATTTCATAGCATGAAATGTTCATAAAAATTTTTTAATTAAAACTGTGGCGATGAAGGACTGAACAAGTTTTCTAGTGAAAAATAACTCAATTTTTTTATAAAACTTTTTTGATTATATTTTATTTATGTGGAGTTTTCTGCAATTACAATTTAGGAAAACTTTAATAACTATAATCACAACATATAAGTGAAACCCCTCTAACTTCAAATCCTATTTACTGTTGATAAATAAAAATTAAAATTGGCATTAGATAATATAATATGAATAAATATAACTTGAAAGTAATTTTTTGTAACATTAAAATTTAGAGAAAAGCATTAAATTAAAATAAATTTTAAAAAGTACAAACTTGAATGCAAACGTTTTTACGCACGTTTATACGTAATTGAATAAGACAAAAATTGACTTTACTTAAAAATTTTAAAACATTTCATTTACATACGTGTTAAAGTAATCAGATGAATTTACAAAAGTACTTTTAAATATCTGCACTCTGACACGTGCGTTAACATTCAAAAAAAAATCATGCTGAAAGAAATCCACTGTCTGAATGATTAGACTAAACTGTTTAAGTGTCTGATTTTGAAAGTTAAAAAGTTGCTATCATGTATTCGTGCATGTTTATCAACTTGCCCTTGAGTCTCATAGATTTTTTGCGTTAGACTGAAATAAATTTTAACAATATCTTAAAAATTTAACAATCTAAACTATCATTAATAAAGCTCTTTTCGATTAATTATAAATAGCACAGTCAAGTACATCGTTTGTTTCGCACCGTTTTATTGTTGTTATTATTAGATATTTACATAATTTGACTATGTATAACGTTTTTTGTGTGTGTTTTTTACTCCTTTATTATTATAATAATTATTTAAATAACTTGATTTTATAAATATTGTATTGTATTTTTCAAACATAAGTAAAAATACTAATCAAAATAATAAATAGTTTTTCAAACATCAGTAAATATACAACTTCTTTAAAAATGGATTTTTTAAAAATTATTTAACCAATTTCGCTCAAATTTCGCATTTTGCCATGAAAAATTACATACTTTAAAATTATGAATAAAACTTTTATGCCTTACAATTGAAAATTTTTTCGTCTATTATTTAATGAAATAATAAAAAATATTAATATTTACTAAAATTTTGTATACAATACAATTCAGAAATTTTTCAAATATTATTTAATAAAATAATGAAAAAAATATTGACTAAAATTTAATTTTTGCATGGAATTATTCTTAGATAAACGAATTTTATAAATTGTGTTCAAACATTTTTCAATTTGTTTAAAGATTTCCCGAGGCATGGCGAAATACGCAAAAAGTAAAATTAATGTTAAGGGGTCCAAAATTTGGACCGCTCTCCTGGCCAAACTATGAGGACCATATTTCCCAGATATGATATATATATATATATATATA